GAAAAAATAATAAGCAGGATACTGAATCTGTACACAGCATTCCAATTAATTACATTTCATCCTCCTCCAATGAATACATAAATTGTTGCTACCCTGGTGACTGTACAGAGCTGGAGTGACTTGCTCAGCATCAACCAAAGGAACCAAAGTAAACGCACAAGACCTTGGTTTACTTTCCCGTGCTCAGACATGACCTTCTTCTAGATATTAAACAATCACTAAGCTATTAGAAACTCTCAAATTGGCTATAAAAACTCGAGCAGGAAATAATTTTCAACTACTGCCACTGAACCCTCTCAGGGACTTCTGTTCTTGTGTGAAGGAACGCTTGCCATTTCAAGGACAAGAGGTGAAGCCTGGTGACAACGGCCAGAGAACAGGATAATGCAGTGGTGCTATGGAAGTGAGACATGGATCTAATCCCACAAACAGATTACTCCTTCAGACAGGCCTGTTATAAAATTATTGAGTGGCACAGGGGGTGGAAGGAATCAAGCCTGTTCTAATTGAACTGACTTGAAATAATAAATGCACGCACTTTTTTTAAACACAGCTTGCCACATCCTGAGAATCTGGAATCAATTCCTTCCCTTTCAAGAAGCTTAAAAGTGGTGAGACTTTGATATGGCATGAGCGTGTTTGCTTCTGGGCTTACAGCCCTCACCAGCCTGTTCCAAACCTTTCAACATTTTTATATTATAAGACAGAAAAGTTAGGAAAACAAAGATGGAAAAAAATAATCAGAAATTCAGGGAACTATTAAATCAGGGCAGCCTAGCTGCCAAATGCCTTTGGTAAGAAAATTAATCATGATCAATAACATATTGCCATGTAGACTTAGAGGAGAAGGTTATCACCTGCCTCTGTGCCAGGTATACAACATAACAGTGTGTGGCTACTAAAGTACCCAGAAAAAAAAATCAGTTTTTCTCCGTAATGTTAAAGCATTTTACTTCAAAGTAAATTTAACTCATCCAGAAAAAACATGATTTTTTTCCATGAAAACTTTGTCAAAATTGATAGGTTACTATGCAACACTTCTCTTTCGATGATGTTGCATTTGTAAGAGGAATCTGTCTTGACAGAAGGAACTCTATCTCCTTCTAAAGGGGATGGTTCGGCTCTACTTGTAAAGCAGCTTGTGTAAGGCTGTTTGCTTTATACATTCGCATATTTGCCAGCAGAGGGTATCACAATCTTAGAAACAGACCTACATATGTTTCATTGCATCTATTCATTTACATGCAAGAATTCAGACACACACTAAACCAAGAAATTACCAATCTCTTATTTTCTCTGGTAACTTTTCCACTATCAGAAAAAAAGAAGTTATCGTTTAGCTACTTAAAGGCACTGGACTGTGTCAGCAGTGCCATCTCCCCACCTCTCTCAGGCCAGGAAATATTGCAAAGCCATAGCCAAGCAATGGCAACCCCTGAAGTCTGACACTGCTGCATGGCCCTGGCTGCAAACTCTCCTGGGCGGAACACTAGCTTGGGTTTATCTTTGTTGTGCATTAGGTTCTCATTAATTCTTACATCCAGTATCCTCATGTTGCATAAATCTTATTAATTATCCCAACCACTTCATACAAAAGATGTAATAGCCACAGGCTGTCGTGAGAACTCATGTTACATAGACCACATGATTTCTTCTAAGCCAGAATGCTATGAAGAATGATGACATATAATTACACCTAACACACACTTCTTGCAGCTAGAGATAGGCTGATGCTACAAATTCCCAGACTGATATCCCACGCATTAATGAATTCACTTCCCTGACTTTCAGGTTAAGAGAACATAATTTAAACAGCCTGATGTTTGGTGCTTTAGCCTACTTGGAACTCAGCACTCCCTTATTCTCAACTAAAACAAATTAAAATTATTGTTTATACAATGCTCTGTATTCTACAATCTATTTTTAATGTATTAACAAGACTTTTCTATTTGTGTTTTGATCATGTGCAACCGATGACTTGGTCACTGGTGTGGCTTTCCCGATTAACCCAAGCAATTGAGCCAGCTGGAGCTAGGAGCCAATACAGAGGATGACTATGAGGCATATATTACCTTTATCTGAGAGCTGGGATCTATAGGAACTATTGAAGATAACCAAAAGCATCAACTTCTGTTATTTTTAGATCTTACCTGCTCATAAGGAGACAGGGAAAGGGACTTCACCAAAGTAATTACATTTTATGCTTATGAAATGCTTTTTCTTATTACAGAACTATATACAACTACTTC